AGGAATGCCTCCTTTCCAATCTCACTGATATAGTTATCCTTAGTCTTAGCTTAGCAAACCACTTTAGAAAGAGTATCCTACTCTGGCGTCATCTACCTTCCCTATCTGTTTTCCTTCTAGATTGACTCAAGTGTTCATTCTCTGTATCCTGTAACAATCAGTATTATCATAGCAATAATGACAATATAATGTACACATGATGTGTTCTGTCATCTGTCTAACCCATTAGACGTTCATCTCATTAAAGAAAAACACTGTATTTTCCTTATTTCTGAATCTTCTAAGATCTAGTCTATATAAGTTGTTCATTAAATATTTTATAGGTGAATGAACTATAATACTAGAACTCTAGAAGTAGGTTTTAAAGTTAAGCCATAAATTACCAAGTAAAACGAAAAACATCCTTGAAAATTTCCTACAAAGGTATTACACTGGAAACTGACATACTGTCATTTCTTAATATAGTTAACTCCAGCACAGTTTTCTATCACTGGAATAAGAATATAGTTTCATTAAATGAACGCCTGTGGTTACAATGGACTTAATGACAATGTTTTATGAAAAATAAATAGTTTAAAACAATAGAGTTTACATTCCATGGTATAAGAGTGACAAGTAGGAACCGATGAGGAGTTTTTTAAAAAACAGCAAATTTACGTCTCTCATCTTAAGGTCATCCTGTGAATATACTTGTCAAGAAGACTGGCATAATTATATTATTTAAAACATCCTATCTGTCTATCTCAGCTACATCTTGCTAAGCATATTTCCTTGAATTTATATAAATTATATGCAATTACGAAGTGATTCCATTGCACTGATATGCCCATTAGAAGCCAATGTTGATTTTTTCATAACCAGTATTTCTCTCACAATGCATTTCCATCAAGATTTTTTTAGTGCTTTAAATGCAGCCACATGTCACTGATTAATGGGGATATGTTATGAGGAATGTGTAGTTAGGCAATTTAATTGTTGTGCAAATATCACAGAATTACACAAACCTAGATGGCATTGCTTATTACACACCAACGATATGTGGTACAGTCTATTGCTCCTAGGCTACAAACACGTATAGCATGTTACTGTCTTATGGGAACACCGTCAAATGTGTGGTCCGTCAGTGATCAAAATGTTACCATGTGGCACATGACTATAATATTGGCAAACATACAATAATAACAAGCAAGCTCAAGAGCATATTAAATTTCTATCTCTACTATTATATTTATATTTCAAGGCAGACATTCAAGAATATAGGCTATTGCTAACTAAAAATCAATGGACAATAAGCATTGGGCTAATTACTTCAATGGGCCCACTAAAGAAGCCTACCTCAGGGAAAAACTAGGATATAAAAAGATTTTAGTATGCTGCCATTTGGGCGAGTACTGCCAATTTACCAGAGCTTTTTTACAACAGGACAGGATTATTGTGCTTAAGTCTCTTAGACACCACACTCAAATATTACCCACTGGCTAAGTCACAGTGTACGTGGATTATGCTGGTGTGGATTGGTTATGAGTGTTTATAGCTTCCATTACTAAAATCCTCTCTATTTCAATCTTATTTCAAACATAAAACTACTATGTTCAGTATTTTTCTACAGCAATTAAGGTTTTTGCATTTCGAGGAAGCATACCTCTGCAGAATAAATGGCAGGATGAAACCAAAGCAAAACCAAAATTAAGTAAGTTATAATAAGGATATACAAACTGAGCATAGATTATCTCCTCAGCAATGATAAATCAAAAATTGAAATAATTCTACTATGTTTCAAGAACTAAATAACTATTTTAACGTACATTTAATAATCTGAAAAATAAACACTGGCAGATTAAATATATAAAATTCCATTTTTATTAAAATTGCTAAATATAAAGAATTCATTTTTCCGCTCTCCATATATATGGCAATGTTGTAATTACCCATGCACTTTAAAATTATATACTACCTACAGAATCAGTTCCCCTGCTTCAAAATCTTAAAAAATTTAGTCCTTATCTAAAACAGAAATTCTGAAAAACAAACAAACAAAAAAGAAGACATGCTGAACAAGAGAAATAATGTGGGAGTATTTTTAATACTAAAGAAAACCATCTGGCTAGTCTGAAAATCTGCTTTTGTGTGTAAAATTTTTTCAACCATCATCAATTAATTAATCTCATAAATTCTCTAGCTTTAGGATAAAAGTGAAGGTGCCAGTTAGCTCCCTCTAAGAAGCTTTCTTTCCTCCCACCATGTGGAAGCCATCTTTCTCTCCTGTGAAATCCCAAGGCCTTCAACTACATTTCTGACATAAGTACTAATTATCACTTTACGCTTAGTATAATTTTTGTAACTTATTTTCCCCGCTGGAATATAAATTCTCTGAGGGTAAGATTTATGTTTAAATTAGATTTGCATGCCCTACAATATCTTCAAGAGTGCCTTGCATAAAGATTCAGTAAATATATATTTGATACCTACAAATTTATTCTCTCCTGAATTTACATTTTCAGTTTTTTCCCATATTAAACTAAGCACTATGTTACTGCTATTTTTCTTTCCACTTCTCAGTAGTTCCTATTTTCCACTTTTGCCAACTTCTCTTATCCTTATTCCCTGAGGGAATCTGTTCATCTGTTTATTTATTCATTCAAATATTCCAATAAATATTTGTCAAGTATTTACTAGGTGCCAGGTAATGTGTACAAGCCTCTAAAGAAGCGAAGAGTTTAGTGAGAAAGACAGACAAGTAAAAAGGTGATTATAAAACAATGTGAGAAATATTACAATAGATGTGAATATATGATACTGTGTAAAAAAATTAGAGACATTTAGAAGTATTTTTCTAAGTTTTTGTCTGCAGATTATCATTTTCTCTACATTATTTTCTCTCCTGGTCATCAATCCATTCATCTAGCTGTCTATTTTCAATTATTAAATAGATAATACATGTCTATGGGCACAAAATATAACAACTTAAGGGAAAAGTAAGTCTTCCTATCTTATCCCCAGTCACTCAGTTTACCTTCCCAAAAGCACTAATATCCAGTGCATAATTTAAGATATTCAATGCACAAACGTTTCCACACATGTATACAGCCTAATTTTATTTTAACACAATGGTAGCATGTTTTATACCATGTCTGCACCTTGGTTTTTTCACTTCTGTAATAGCCCATATTGGGTTGCCTCATTCGTTTTAATAGATAAAAATGTTCCACTGCATGAATGTAACACAGTTTATTTTAGTAGACTTCTTAATGAATGCTCATTTGGGGTATTATAATAATACACTGAACATACTTATCCATATATCATTCTGTGGTGTCTGTATGTCTGTAGGATAAATTTTTATAAGTGAAATTGCTGAGTTCAATAATATATGCATTGTTAATTTTGATAAATACTTACAGAGATTTCATCTATTTCATTTCTACCTCTGTGGCTTAAATTATAACCTTTATAGGAATGGCCTCCAAAACTGCAGTTCTGACTGCTAATTTACTCTCTATGATATTTTCACATTCATATTACCTTAGAAGCTTACGAAAACCTTTTCAAAAACAAATTTATAATCTCACTCTCAATATGTTCTTCATAACTTTACTATATCTCTTAAGTCTCCCTGATTACAAACAAAAAAACACTTTTGATTCTCCCTCTTTGTTTCTACCTACATTCAGTTAATTGGTCATTAAGACAAACCAAGTTTACAGGCTCACAACATCAATTTCCTTCATATTTTCTCAGACATCTGACTGGCAGGGCCCAGTTCTGCATGCTCAGGTTATTATTATTTAACTACTCAAGTTCTTCTTGCCCTATGCTTACCTACCAGTGATTCTGTTCCATCCTCTCTGCCTGAAATATCTTCTTCAATCAGTTCCCTGGTTGAAATCTTTTTTTTTCCTCTTTTTTTTCCTGGTTGAAATCTTAATAAGGTTACCCTAGATGCCAGATTATCCATATAGTATTTTCTTTTAGGACACTATTGACACTTAGGTCTTTCACTACACATTCTAATTTATAATGCTTATAAGAGAAATTATATACTCTTTCATAGCAAAATAATATCTTAATACACTTTGATAAACCCACGTTGCCTAGGAACTCAAAATGTGTTTACCAAATGAATAAACAAAGTTTTACCATAAACTACTTCCTACAAATAAGATAATTTTATTCATTTAATTATTTTGGAAAATAAGAATTTTTAAAATCTTTGAGATACAAGCCCCTATTTAATAATTAAATTTATTACAGAAAGCTCACAATATAAAATATTTCCAGTTAGATATTCCAGTACATTTCACTTTTCCCTCACATGGATTTTAACTAAAAACAAAGAGGACATATGATAAGGATTAAAGGAGCAAGTGAAATGTACCACTCAGAAGATTAAATTTATCTTCCAAACTAAAATATTCCTTAAATCTCTTAAATATAGTCATGGTACTCCTAACTACTACGTAGAAGAGAAAACTCAGCCACAATGCGTCTATGGACTACTATTCAAGTGAGTTTAAGATGGGCAAAATAAGCCGGGCTCGGTGGCTCAGCCTGTAATCCCGCGCCTTTGGGAGGCTGAGGT